CAGGCAGGAGGGCTCCCCAGCGAGCCCGGCTGCGGGCCGCCTGGCAGGCAGTGTCCCTGAGCCTCTCTCTTTGCCCGGTCCCGTCTCTTCCTCTTAGAAGCGTTTCAAGTTTGGGGATTTCTCAGGTAACAAAGCGGTGCCCTCAAGGTGGGCAAATCCGGTCTTAGACCTCATTTTCCCTGTAAAGAGGAATTAACCACAGAATTAAAAACCCAGCGGTGCCTAGATGCCGTCTGCGACCGCAGCACACTAACATTTCTTACCAGCAAACAGGGCAAAGCTGGAGCCCCTAAATAAACACGCCCGGAATGTTTTTTTCCAAAAGGCAATCGATCGCTGTTCAGTTCAGCTGGAAGCGAAAAAGATGCGGAAAGATAAATATCAGTGATTATTGTTTAAGCGTTCTCCGAGGTGTTCAAAAGGCTGCACTCAGAACAGTTGTATTCGTTAAAAAGAACCAGCCTGGATTTGAGGTGAAGTGAAACAAACAGTATAAAAATACAACGAATAAACTGGGGGAAGGGGGTTTATATTGAAATTGAGGAATTATGGAAAATTGATAAAGGAAGCAAAGACCAAAAGGAGATGTGTACGACCAGCAAAACCTTTTAACGGGATATTTATAGAAGAAATGCTTTAAACGGAGGCAAACCCAAAGATTCCTGACCATGGTATGAGGGCCTTACTGTGTGAAGATAGAAATAATAATGGTGAGTCGTTAATGACAGCATAAAAGGTAGATGCAGAATAAATATTTCTGTTCTGTGGATTGAAAAAACCAGGCAGTGCAGTCATAGGAAATGACAAAACCCGTTTCATTCTGAGGTCCTGCAGGTGGCTGTTAAAAAGCAAACACAAAACTTCGATGTTCTGGATCAGAAGGTCCAGAGAATTCAAATCCCAGACTTTTACAAGACCTGAACAGCAAAGGTCTTGGATTGCTGCTGTTCATTTGCAGTAAGTCGTGCAGGATCATGGAATTTGCAAAGAAATTGCGTAAGTTAATGGGGATACCAATATTTCAATGGGTAAAGACGACCATCCCGGTAATTATGGGTTTGTCAGTTGACACTGGTTGCTAGGAGAATGACTTAACAGCTGTTAGGGAGTTTGATTAAGAATTAAAGGAGGAGAATATAAGTAACACAAATCAACTTGGGGTTACAGAAATTAAATCTTGTCAAACTAATTTACTTGCTACCACATTGGAAGGAAAAAATAATCAGCTTTAGTTACTGTAATAGTGCCGATCTAAGAAATTACTATAAAGCACGCGATGTGACGCATCTACGCAGCTTTCTAGCAGGACTCCAACAGACTACGAAGACGGTAAGAGCCACCGATCTGTTATAGAGCGGCCAAGCCAGGGCGAGTCAACAGCAATTGTGAACAGGGACTGTTCCCCGGAGCCGGTTTTCTCTCCAGACTGTTTCCAGTGACAGCCCAGCAGCTCCATCTTGCTACGGCAGCAAAGAGGCTGCGGGGGTGCGGTGAGGCTGGAAGCGCCTGCGTGGGGAAGGGACCCACGAGGGCCAGTTGGGAAAGAGAGAACATGAAGAAGTGCAGGGAAAGTGAAGCTGGACAAGTTGAACCCAAGACCAAGGCATGCATTTTTAACAGGAAATGTTATTTCTTACCGGAACAACTCCCAGAGGACTGTGATGGCTTCTTCAACAAGGGATTTTTTTAAACCCAGGAGAGGATGTTTTCCTAGAAAATCAGTTTGAATCAAACTGGGATTTGCTACGGGAGGTCTTATGGTCATACTGGATGTGTTAGAGTCGCTTTGCATCTGCCGTGCCTTGGAGCTGGAGTGGCCCCGCAGTAAGGCAGTCAGCATATCCCCGAAGAGGCGATTGTACAGCCAGGCAGCGCTCGCCCAGAGCGAGCCCATACAATTTCTCAAAGGCCTCCCCATCTTCGACCTTTACAAACAGCCTCTTTATCCCCCTCCCCTTTCTGTTGTAGAATCCATTAACCCTTCACGGCCGAGCAAAGCAACGGAACACCCCTCCAGAGGGCCCCTGTCAGAAACTCTGTAATTTTTATGGCAGGGTGCTTCTGCAAACTCTGTTCTCCCTGCACAGCTGTGAAAGAACTGCCCAAGAGCAAAGGCACGTCCCAGCACCTCCTGGCAGAGCCCAAAAATCACAGTGAACAGCACCAACTGTGTTTTATTTGGGAAAAGTATGATTCCTCTTAAGACCCATGCCTAACACGGTCAGCGCTGTGACCAGAAAAGTGCTGTTCCTCCAACGTGTTTGTTCCAAGTAAAACTTTACAGCTCAAAATTATAGTGACACGACTGCCTCTCTCCGGCTGTTATTGCAGGTCCTACAAATAAATACACATCATCTTGCTGACTGGGACACCGGTGACACCAGCTCCTGCTCTTCCCATGCTGGGCAAAGGGGCTTGCAGGGCAAACTGCTCCCCCCGACCCCCATCGCTCTGCTTCCAGGAGGGCCTGAGCTGGGTGGGGAAGCAGTTCGGCTCCAGACTTTGGAAAGACTTTTACCACACAGTTGTTATTTATAGAAGCCCGAAACAGAAGCGAGAGCCTAGAGAGCAGCAAGAAAGAGGACAGGGCAGGGCTATAGCCGAGTCTGGCGTGCCTACTGCACAGCATCACGGCTTAACTGCAGGGCTTGCAGCACATACACACGGGAAAGTTCCCTTTCAGCCCCCATGGGATGTTGCCATGCAGCTTCTCCTTGCTCTTTTCACCCCCTGCACCCCCAGCACCGTGAGATGGGCTTAGCATTTCCCCCACAGGCAGCAGCGACCGGCAGCGGCTCGTGAAGGCGGATCTGATCTGCTGCAGAGCCTCCCTGCTGCTGACCAGGGCAGCCAGGCACGATGCATGTGGCACCTGGAGGTACGGGAGAATGTTTCTCATCTGGTTTTCATTTCCACTGCGGGGGAAAGCTGTCAACAGCACTGGAGACTGGGAGTCCTAGGGAGACCGAACTGGGATTTAATGGCAAGGAAAGGTGTAAATCAGTCTGCTTCTAAAGCCCCTCTGCCTTGGGCTGGGCTTTTCCCAGCCACCTCCAACACCATCAGCATCTTTGCCCTGATCTTTATCAGGGGTAGGGTGAAGGTGCACGGAGTGGCGGGCAGCCCCAGCACAGCACCCTCTCCAGGAATACCGAGCACCTTGTCCACAAGACAGCAACCTCCCCGGCCAGGCACCCAGCACCGGCCAGCTGAGCGTGGGGATGGGACCTGGGCTACGAGCCGCTCACCTGTGGTGCAGCAGTTCCTTCAAAGCTGGCTTTGGCTCCTCTGGCCTCCTCTACAAACGTCTGCAACGGCTGGGCCACTCCGAAGAGGCCTCCAGACGGGTGCCTGTCCCTGCTTTGTGCAAATCCCTTGAAGCCTGGGCAGACGAGAGCTCACTGGTGGCTGCTCGGGCACAGATGTGCAGTCTCACTGGTGGCTGCTCGGGCACAGAGGCGCAGCAGCTGGCGCAGCAGCCTCCCATGCAGAGCCCCCTCCGCCTGGGGCTCCTTCCCCACCTCTGCACAGGGCAGGAGGGAGAGCACAGGAGTGGGGCCGGGGAAGTGAAAAGGAAGGATGCAAGAGGCAGGGTCCGGTATTCAAGAAAACGTCTTTATTGTACACGTTGGCTTCTATTGCTTGTATCCCCTCCCCAATCCCATGTAGTGCAAAAAATTCAGAGAAACAGAGTTCCACATAAATAAGTCAGATAACTTACAGAGAAATCAAAGTGACGACGGTTTGACATGGAGGAGACTGGGTCTGCCTACCAGTAAGGCCAAGCGAACCTCTGCCCCCGTGTCGGGGCAAGGGCTCCTGCCCAGCCTTGCCGTCTGACCCCGGGGTCCCTGGGCAAAACACATCAACACGCACAGCCTGGAGCCACCCGCTCAGGGGGGCTCCTCCGCTGGGAAAAGCTCACGTGGGAAATCGCACAAATAACATTTTGGGTGAGACACCACTAACAAAAACTGGCAGAAAAGCCACACAGAGTTGACAGTTCTCCTCCCCTCAGATAGGGTACTACGCACAGACAGACAGACACAGACGCACATCCCCTCCGAGGCCTTCCAGCTCAGCAGGGGATGTGCAGCACCAGAAGCAATTCCACCCTGGGAACTCCCAGGGCAGATGCTGACACCTCGTGTCCACACAGTGTGGGTCGGGGGGCTCCAGACCCCCGCAAGCTGCTGGGGAACTATTTTGCCCTTTCCTTCCTTCTTTCTCCTCTCCAGGAAAGCAGTGAGCACCTGCATAGTTAGTACAGCAGAGACGCAAAAGGCTCCCTTCCTCCCCGAGTTTCTGCAGGACGGGCTCAGTGGTGGTATTGCTCAGGACCCAACCAGGCGGTGGCAGGAGTCACGCTGCCTGTTCCCCTGATCCTCAAGAGGCAGGACAGCATTGCACGCCCTTTGCAGTGTGAATCGCTAAAGATTAAAACCGGGGCCAAGGGCACACGGCACAAAAATTCTCCTCAGCCTGCTACATCGCTCGCTTCCCCTCTGGTTTTGCCCGCCTGCCGCCCCTTGAGGCAGCAGCCCCCCTTCATGCCATGGTGGCCAGAGCTGGACCAGAAGCTGAGCCGCTGCTAGAACAGCTCATCCCTTGTTCAGAATCAGCCCTGTTTCTCCCTTCAGCAGTTCCTCTCACTCGAGAGCCAGCCTTCAATGCACTAGTCGATACGAGTCCAGCAGAAGACTAAAATCCTGCTGCTGCCTATAGGAATGGGGAAAACAAGGATCGAGACCTCGCTCGTGCGTAGGCACATGCACACAGCCGAGCAGGCTTCACCGATTTCATCATGGCTTCGAACAACGCAGACTGATGCGAGCTACTGGGGGCGGCCCCACCGACCGAGAGGCAACCTGCAGGAGCAGAGCCTGGGCATTTGCAGGGTCCTCTGCAACACAGAGGAATGGGAGAGCTGCCGAGCTGCGACAAGCTGGGGCAGAGGCTTGGCAAGCGAGAGGGGAATGAAAAGCAGATTTAGAGTCTGTCCTAAAAGCCAAAAAGGCTTCCTCAGCCTGAGAAGCCCAGACTGGCCTTGGGGAGAGGCTGAGGGGAGAAGCAGCCCAAATTTTCAGAAGCTGCTGGTAATTTCAGGTGTCCAAGGTTAGGCACTGTAAGTGGGCTTGTAAAACATGCAGGCACCTGTCCAGGAGAAATCAGATCGCCGTAAAAATCTTCTTAAGTTGGGGAGTCCCTGTCTCATCTCAAACTCTCCTTTCACCCCAAAGAAAAGATGAAAGAAGAAATCCCTAGCCCCTGGAGAATTTAGGCCAACAAACACCATCACAAGTGAAATCCGAACTCCATAAATGAGAAACGAGAAGGAGCGGGGGGCAAAGGACAAAGGAATGAGTTCAGAACGAACAGTTAGACCGCATTTCCAATGCTACATTTGAACACTATTGAGGTACCAGCGGTTGAGTCATTCCTCTACAACGTCTCGGTTCAAGGCTCATACACACCCTACAGCGCACGCACTGAAAACACCACCCAAGAGGTTCCATGGCACAGGTGGGTCTGGGACAGGCCTGTGACTTACAGTACTAATTTATTCAACCTTTAGTTAATTAAAGTGGTTGCTTAATTGCCAGGGAGTCGCTAATTGCAAATGGTCCCTTCCATGCTGTTTTCGCTGTCCATACGGTATCTCACACGTGCACACACACCCACACATCTATAGAGAACGTCTTCCAGGACACAGTCATCATCTCATCAACAAATGAGAAAAGTAATTGCATCCCTTCTGCTGCCTTAAAAGCAGATGGGATGGGGAATACCAGGCTAGTGTAAAAAATAAAGGGATATGAAATCCTTACAAATTAAAATATTAGCATTCAAATAAAAAAAGGCAAAAAATTAACACCCAAAAAAGTAACACCAGGCAATCCTCCTCATTTAGAAGGCTGTGGACTGTTCTTGTTTAAGAACCGATACCTTTCCATAAACCCAGAATCTGCTTTGCAGAGAGGGGAACAGCAAACAGGCTGATCCGTTCCCAGCCAAACTGTGAACCAGGACCACATGCAGAGAGCAGGCAGCCCCACAGTCACTTGAACCTGGGACAGCGATGGCACGGACGCAAACAAGGTCATTCTGCCTGGCTGGGGACTCCCCAGAGCGATGGTCAGCTGGGATCTCAGTGAATGAGGTGGGGCCAGCTGAGTATGGAAACACCAGAGGGTTCAGGATGCTGCATCCAGCTTTGTCTCCAACCCTCGCCTCCTCCAGGCCCCGTCCCTTAGCTGGGCTTCTTTTGTTTGTGTATTTTAAGGCATCAATTAGACACCATTGAGAACCATACAGCGGCCTCAGAGTCTTTAACAGTGCACAACAGGCTTGGCAAAGAGTTTGGCTACAGTGACATTCAGAGGAAGGGTTGCACATTCAGCCGCGTCCCTGGGAGGAGTGCTGTCCACCTCTGCCACCCCACAGGACTTCTGGAAGCCTCCAAGGCTGGCTGTGCTTGTATGTGTGGCACCGGCTGGATCACGTGAATCCAAGAAGCAGCAATGGTTTAAAGTTTCCCCTCCCCAAAGAAAATATACGCCCTTTGGGTGAGTGGTGAGATGAGTCTGAATGGAGCAGAGAGCACCCCCCTCTCCTTGCCCTCTAGAAGGAGGGTGCTCGTCCAGGAAGCACATTTCTAACTGCTGTGGTCGTGCTGATCCGATGTGGGCACCGAGAGTGGGGCTGGCTCCGGGGGTTCACAGGAGTGCTGGGCTGGAGGCAGCAGCCGGTACCTTCGCTCTCCTCCTACAGCGACCGGCTGCCCCGTGGGGCCGGCCACGCTGGCCTAGCGCTCCGCCAGCTGCCCCTGTCCCCTTGAGGTAAAGCAGGTCCTGATCCTTTGTCAAAGGCTCGTCGAAGACACCGACAGGGTGGGTGAGGAGGGGGGCGGGAAGTTGAGGAGTTCTAGCACGGCCACCCCCACGCTGCTCCGGCGCGTGAACATGCACGAGGCTGCTACCCACTTGTTGGTACGGGGGTTGTACTTCTCGATGGAGTTTAGGCTGGAGCTCCCATCATTGCCACCCACTGCGTACAGCCACCCGTCCATGGCCACCAGGTCGTGGGTGCTCCTGGAATGACCATGCAGAGACGACAGGGGTGTGAGGCTCGAACACGGTGTATGCGAGGTGTAGGGGAGCTCAGCACCTCAGATGAACTGGCCAGAGCTCTGTCACCCCACAAAAAGGAGTGCCCAGCCTCCCAAATGCCCAGTGAAAATGAACTACTGGGGCTCAAACAGTCAGTGGCAGAGGGCGGTACAGAGCCTTGGATCTTCCTCTTCACACCGATACCCTCCTCCCACTGGAGAAGAGCCACCTCTAAATAACAGGCCCTAAAATCCTTGGATTCCCAAGCCTTAAACTCTCCCGCAGCCCAGCAACATCTCCTACGTGGCCTCAGCCAGCTGTACCACCCGGTTCTTTACAGCCACACTCGTCGTGCGAGCGGCGCGGAGCCGGCCAGCTGCAGCCCCAGCCAGGCCCTGGGGCATGGTCTGCATGGTACGGTTTGCAGTTGCAAGCAAGGCAAGGCTCTCTGTGATATGGGATCCCCATCCCTGCCTGCAGCAGCGGAGGCTCCCCTGCAGCTGGGGAGCGTGGCAGGGGCAGAGCTCCTTACCTACGGATGTTCATGGGCGCCACGCTCTCCCACGTGTTGGTTTTGGGGTTGTAACGCTCAACAGAGTTAAGGCAGCTGGTCCCGTCGTTGCCGCCAGCCACATAGAGCATCCCCTCCAGCACGGCCACGCCTGCGCTGCTCCGGCGGCTCAGCATATTGGCAATGGGCGTCCAGGTGTTGATCTGGGCAGAGGCAATGTTTGTCTGTGAGCCTGATGTACAAGCCATTGTCAACGTACCCCTGCCAACCCAGTCCGGCGATATTAGTCCTGCTCTAACCAGACAGCTCCTGATGTAATGGTCCTCCCCAAAAAAAGACTTTTGGGGAGACCCTAGTTCTTTCCCCTCACCTCTCCTGCAGGAAGAGCTGCAGGCTCCAGGAGAGACCTCTGCCGACTGGCTCAGGAAAGCACAGCCGTGGCTGGCAGGAGTCCTGCCATCCCAGGGGCCTGAGCACAGGGATCTGTGCCAGGCCACCAGTCACAGCACAGCTGAATCCCAGCCCAGTCATGGGGGTTGCGCTGTATCTATTTCAAATCTGTAAAAGTCACGACTGTGGCTTTACAGCTCATGAAAAACCTCCAGGACCTTCTCTTTGATCTTTTTGCAGTGAACAAGCCCACGCTAACCGAGCTGTGAGAGCCCAGGCCCGACACATCTCCAGCCTGCCATGGTCCCCGCTAACCGCTCTGGATGTGCATGCAGCAAGCAAGCTCTGGAAGCCGGAAACAGCTCAGGGCACGAACAAGAACTGTTCTTCCTGGAGAATGTGAGCTGGCCTACAGGCCATGGGGATGGAGAGTGTTCTGGTGGTTGAAAATCTCAAGGAGATATCTTGGAGCCTGCAGGGATGAGCTTTGGCTCATGTTGCCCTGGATTGCACCCCGGATACTCTGCCCCATCTCACAGTCACGCATGGTGGCTTAAGTCTCCAAAGGGGCACGCAGGTCCGGGCTGCACCGGCTCTTGCGGGCACACCTTCTGCTCCACTGCTGCTGTAACACTTTGCTAGGAAGCGGCCGCATCTTAAACTACAGCTTGCTAAGAGACCATGCATGGCTGATCTCTCACTGTCTGCTGTCTTCTCCAGCAATTTGTGTGGCCCTCAGCTTTCTGCAGGGCCCCTTCAGGCACCCACCAGGAGGGGAGAAGGAAGAGGGCTACCAGACACGCTCGCTCTTGTATTTACCTGGGGCTCATACTTTTCTACCGTGGCTAAGTGGGATGAGCTGTCGTATCCCCCAACGGCATAGAGGTTGCCTTCTGCAAAGACAGTTCACACACACGCAGGAGTTAGCTGAAGAGCGTGGCCCCATCCCATCCCAGCCTCCCACAGCTCTTGCACAGGGTGCCCATAGATGTGTCAGCTGAGCCGCAGTGCCTCCCGCTCCCCAAGCATCCAGGCTCCGCTCAGCGGGGCTCCCCCGCCTCCCCCTTCCCTTGCAGCACGGAGCACTGTGAAATATTCATCGAGCAACTTCTCTACCATAGGGCAAGCTTCCCAAAGAGCTCATTTGCCTGCTGCTTCTTGACCTCCGCGTTATGGGAGCTGCAAGTGCTCCCCACCGGAGCGATGGGTTATTTTTAGCAGCGGAGGCTGGAGCAGGGGAACGCCAATAAAGGCTGTGGCAGGCAAAGTATGAGCTGGGATGGAGGGGAGGGAACCTCTGAGTCAGCACGGAGAGCTGAAACCAGAGAACGGGGCAGGGGAGAGGCACCAGGGGGACACCGCACAGCAGTTCCTGGGACGGTGGGGAGCAGCGTTCGGCCCTGGCATCCCCAGGGAGGTCCAGGACCTGCTAGCATGGACTGGTGCTTGCATTAACCCCATAGTTGCACTAAACAACGAAGTGGCCAGTTCTCACACTGCACCCTCCTTAAGGGCTGAACTCATTCAGTGGAGTCAGGAGACCCCACAGCATTGCACCTAACGCTGTGACACCCCTGGTAGAGATAGTTTTGACCCTGGGCTACTCTTTGGATCATCAGTAAAAGGGCTGCCCTGCTTTCATAATGAAGGAGTAATAAGGTTGGTTCTTCCTTTCCAGGGATAGGTGATCATCCACAGCCAGCCCTCTTGCTCCAAAGTAGAAGGGGCTCAAAGGAGCTGAGAAACACGTTGTAGGTCCCCCCAGGAGTTGCCTCCAGAATGTGATGAAACCCAGCTACTACAAAGACCAAGGAGGAGGGCAGAGGCAGGGAGCATGTCAGGAGATGGCAAAGGAATGGCTGGGCTACCCCCTGGGGAATCTAGGAAGAAGGGGCAGGGACTACAACAGAAGAACGTCAAAAGGAACCACCAGAAATGGACGGTCTGCACAGAAGTCAGCAGGTCCTCATGCCATCACCCACCTAGCGTTGCCACCCGGACGTAGCGTCTCCTGGTGCTCATGGCAGCGATGGATGTCCAGGTGCCTGTCAGAGGGTCGTACCGCTCTGCGCTGCAGCAGGCAGGGACACAGGAACATAAGGTGTGACACTGGCAAAGCCCAGGTCAAAGCTCTTTGACACAGGCTCTCAGGGGCAGCTCCCAAGGAAGCTTGGGAATAGACAGGGAAAATGGAGGGAAGAAGTGACAAAGGCTATGTTCTGCTGTGGCACAGGGCTACAAAATGATTTCTTCCCTGAAGAAGCTTTGCCTGTGCCAAAGACATGGGAAGACAGAGCTGGATTTGCAAGACATCTACTCTGGGGCCAGCCCATGTGTCAGGAGCAAGCCTTGTGGGCTCCCCAGGCACCCAGCGCCAAGGATAGTGCATGCAGGAGCAGTGGAGGAGCCTGTAGCAAGGCAAACCCCTACCTGTTCAGGCACGAGGCCCCATCGTACCCCCCAGCGGCATAGAGAAGCCCGTGAAGTGCTGCTACACCCAGGCAACTCCTCCTGGTGCCCATGGACACCTCAGGTTGCCAGGAATTGGTGACAGGATCATAGGACTCCACTGTGGCCAAATCAGAGGTCCCATCGTAGCTGTAGGGAGAAAAAGGGAGAACATGAAAGAGCTGGGAAGCCTGGGTTGCCGGTGAGGCTCTGGGCTGGTCCTATAGCTCTGGAGCCAACCCAGAGCCTCGGGTCCCCATCAGCACCCCTCCCCTCTCCCCCCATCCAGCTTCCTCAAGGCAGAGTGCACGAAAGCACCCGCCAAAAGGGCAGAGCCCTTCGCTGAGCCATCCTGGTGGCCTGCAAAGCAAGCAGGTCTCAGAGGGCCACCACGCGCTGGGGCAGGGGTGGGCTGGGGCAGTTTGCAGGCTCGTAACAGCGCAGGGCTAAGGCAAATGGCAGGAAACAGCGCAAGCCCAGGATGTAGCCGCCACCCAAGAGAGAGCTCGCAAACTCGCGGCTCAGAACCGCAGGGGCAGGGGAGTTGTTTTCAGTTGCTTCTCCTGCAGTTAGCAACCCAGAGATACTGGATTGCTTCACGCGGAGGCTGGCCCCGGGGGGCTTCTGCTGGCCACCTCCGCTCCCAGAGCAGCTCTGTGCCACCCTCACCATCGGGCTCTGTTCAGAGGCTGTGGTGGGCATCCCTGCCGGCTCCCGTGCCCTCCTTACCCGCCCACAGCGTACAGCTTGTTCCCAATGGCAGCAACGCCCACTCTGGCCCTGCGAGTCGACATGGAGGCCACCATGTGCCACCGATCTGTCCGCGTGTCATAGGCCTCGCAGTCCCCATGGATGGCGAACAGGCTCCCCCCACCTGCGCAGGGGATGGCAAACAGAGCAAACAACAGTCCGAGCCCCTGGGAAGGGGGTGGCATGGACGCGAGCGCCCGGCAGGGTCTTACCCACAGCAAAGAGCACAGTGCTGGCCCCCTCGCAGCGCCGTGGCCTCGTCCTGCTGTTGCTGAGGACCCCTCTCTGCTCCGGCATGAGGTGGTACTTGAGGGCTTCGATCAGCAGGTCCTTGCACTCCGAGTGATGCCGCACCAGCAGCTCCGTGTCCACGTTGCTCATGAGGAAGTCCCGGCTCAGCAGGGGCAGCCGCACGCACTTCATAAGCTGAGGGGAGAGGAGTCGCACCCCATCGGCAGGGTGGGAAGGGTTCATCCCAATGCTGCCCCCACATGTCCCCTACAAACCCTGGGGACCCTGGCAAGGCTGACTCCACCGGGAGATATCATCCTGCTCGCTTGGCAGGACAGGCACCCGGTGACAAAGGGCACCAAGCACATGCAGTAATTCAGCCTTAATGTCTCTGCAGAGCCAGGAGCCCTCGGCCTGGCCGTGACATGTCCCACAGCCACCCCAGATCTCCACCTTGCCCTCTGCTGGTACCTGCATCCTCTTCCAGCACTCATGCTACAGGTAACAATCCTCGCTGCGGGGCTGCAGAGCCCAGACGCCACCTCCCTCTGCCCAGCATGCCCCACATTGCCTGCATCGCCCACAGGAGGGATGTTTGAGTGCACACAACCAGCAGAGGTGGAGACAGAACTTCTCCAAAGTCAAGCCCTGGGGTAGGTGGAAACCCAGGGGAAACCCTCAAAGTCTTCCTCATCCCGCTCCAGTGTTCGGGAGGATGCCTAGGGATGCTTCCTCCCACTGCTCCCACGAGCTGCCTGCCTGGAAGCAGCAAGATGACAGGGAGCCGGGGCAGCTGGAGGCAGCCACAGCCTCCACTGCAGTGTGAGGCTGCATCCATGAGAGGGTGCCCACGCTGTGCCAAGCACTGGCAGCCCCTCAGCGAGGGGCTTAACCACGTCTTCTCCAGTTGCACCTTTGGCAGGCAGGAGGCTCGCAGATCCATGCTCCAAGGTGCAGATGCAGAGAGACAAAAGCGTGAGTTAAAAGAAGTCCCGGCTCAAATTTGCCTGAGCTTTTTGTTTGGGGATGCACGTGGAAGCTCAGGGAGGCTGCAGGCAGGGCTGACCTCTCCTGCTGCCCACACCCTCCCCAGAGCTCCACGTGCCCAAGCTGCCAGGGGTCAGACAGGGCATCCCCTTGAACTTGTCAATAGTTTGGACTTCGCTCTGTGAGACTGAACTTTCCCAGAAACACTATGCCTGGACTTGAAGTGGTGTGGCAGGGACCTGCTGTCCCTGCCCTCTGGCCACCCTGCAGCGTCCTTCAGATGTGTATCCACCCAGACCAGGCACTCGGAGCTGGTGGGTAGAACCCTGCCACCTTCCCCAGCAGACTCACCCTGGGGACATGCTGTCTTCTGCTGTCCACATCATGTTTGACCCAGCTGAGCACAGCCCGGTACACCTCCTCCTCTGATGGCACATTGAGGCTGTCACTAGAAATGAGGTCCAGCACCTGCAGAGTGGGGTGGAAAGGGCAAGTGTCGGTTGGTATGGTTGGACATTAGGAGAAAATTTTTCACTGAAAGGGTTGTTAAGCATTGGAATGGGCTGCCCAGGGAAGGGGTTGAGTCCCCATCCCTAGAGGGATTTAAAAGCTGGGCAGATGTGGTGCTTAGGGACAGGGTTTGGGGGTGGGACAGCAGGGTTAGGGGAACGGCTAGGCTTGATGATATTAAAGGTCCTTTCCAACCTGAACAATTCTGTGATTCTCTGAAAGGACACATTCACACCCCCAGGTAACTGGCTCAGCAGAACAGCACCGGCAGAGGCAGAGCCCCAGCCTCCTGTAGATGCTGGCGGCTGAAGGGTGCACAGCGGGGGGTGCCCCAGCCACTCTCTCCCACGGGACGCAGAAGGATCCAAAGAGCAACCAGGTCCCCCAAACTGGGCAGGTGCAGCTGTGCCTCCCCTCTCCTTGCAGCACTGGTGTGGAGACAGCTCTGCCCTCGATCCTCCTCCTTGGCTCATTCCCCCCCTTCCTGTGTCTGAAGCTGCCGCAATGCCTGACACTTCCAATCAACATCAGTGAGATCAGGCAGATGACTCTGCTCGCACGCGTCCCTTCAATATTTCATGGGATAGAGCCAGGTGCCCTAGCTATTCCCAGCACACGCACTTCACTGCCAAGGACAACCAGAGCTGGAGCAAGTGGAGATATGTACCCTCCTCTTGCTGCCCCGCACCCCAAAGCCCCGGGAATGGGTGAAGAGAAGCATCTGCATCCTGGTGAGGGACCATCCAGGGCCGGGTGATGCAGAGCACGGCCGGGGAATGCCTGCTGGCCAGGGCACAGCACAGCACCCTGCAGGCAGTGATGAGCCAGGGGCCATACAGGCACCACACGAAGAGCAGGAAACATTAGCTGAGCTCCAAATTAAACGTCACAGCTACATGACTGGGGCAGCCAAGACTTATTCCTTGGCCTGTGCTCCCAGAGAGAGGGCAGTGTGCTCAGAGCTCACGTGGCGAGCGATAGCAATCATCCTCCGTGCTACCCTCCCATCCCTATTTCACGTGGGATTAAGCTTGCTCCCTGACAGCACTCTTCCCACGTATCATCTCTCGGTTGAACAGAGAGGACCAAAGCACAGAATCTGAGTACATTCCCCTGCCAAACCCTGTCCCCTCAGTGCAGGTCCCTTGGGCTCTTGACTCGCAGAGTGTGCCTTCCAGGACAGAGCACGAAAAGCCTTGCCACACCCGTACCTTCACACTCCCACCAGGACCTCACCTGTTTAAGAGGCAGCAACATGAACTCCTCTGTCTTGGACACCTCCACAAAGTGTTGGAGGACGTACTTGTGCGCAGACTTGAGGAGGTCGCTGCAGGAGTGCGTGTCAGCAAAACCTCGGATCCCCAGGCAGTTGGATGGGTCGAGCTGGCTGAGTAGGAACTTGCAGCAAGCATCCCGCACACCATTGAGCTGAAGCAGGCTGGCAGCAGGAAGAAGTGTCTGGCAGTGGAAAAGAATGGGGGAAAAGAGAGTTTCCAGGGCAAGGAAACCATTTTCACCCTCATCTCACTGCAAGTCAATAACAGAACAGGCTCACTGAGCACCTTCAGGCACACAAGCACATAGAGGAGAAAGAATTCTTTGTTTCCAACAGGATTAAGCTAAAGAAGAGCTGAGAAGGCCACCGTAACTCCCCACAGGGCCAGGAAATGGCAGGAGAATGGCAGGTGCTTGGGACTAGACCCAGCCATTGCATAGTGCTTTGAGGAGCCATTCCCAGCCACAGCAGCGGCAGGAGCCAGACCTCCGGGTGCAGGGGAGCAGATGAACCCCCTGACCACTGCTAGATGCAGGTGCCATCACAGAACAACAATGAAAGTGCTGAGCAGAGGGAGAGAAGAGCCCCCAGGAGGCAAGTCTGGTACACAACGGTTTTGTAGAGCGGAGAGATTTGCGGAGAGGAAACTCCTACCTGCACATTCCCCTCGCCCACCACAATCTCCGCCGTGTAAGCATATTGCACCAGCTGCTCCAGGGCCTGGGGGTCGATGTCGTGCAGCGTCACGTGGGTCTGGCGGCTCTCACTCATCTCATCTGGGGCAACAGAGAGGATAGGCGTGAACAAAGTCCCACAGCAGGATTGTTTCCCCTCAGGAAGACTCTTGGCCAGGCATGGAACAAGCCGCATCCACCTCCACAGCCCAGCGTCACAGCCCAGAAAGGTCTCCTGCCCACCTCTTAGCAAGGAGGAGCAGCAGAATACTCTAGGGAATGGGGTCCATGTCTGCAGGATGGGCATCAAGATACCTGTGCAGGGGGTTATGGACAAAGGGCTTCACGGAAGGGAGCCAAAGGAGGAACATTGCTGCATTTGCTCACAGAGGTGATACAGGCATCATATTCCCATAGGGTAGGGCAGTGAGAATGGGGAGCAGGACAGAAAGAGGAGGGGTTCGCAGGGAAGAGAGGGTTTGAAGAGCAAGGAGACCCTGGCCATGGGGAAGAGAGGACACTACTTGCTTGTGAACATGGCGTGGAAGTACGGGCTGCAGGACGCCAGCACCACCTTGTGGGCCTTGATCTCCTTGGTGCCCACATGGAGCACGATGTCGCAGAGCAGCCCACGCTGACGCATGCGGTTCATGCACACGAAGGCATCGTGATAATGTCGCTTGGAGTTGTGGGAGATGCTGTGGCCATCGCGGTTGAGGAGCTGCACACCCCCTTCCATGGCTGCAGGTGGTGGGTGGTGGGCTTCCCCTTCTCAGCAGCGCTGACATGGGGGAAAACCAAAGCATTAGCCAGGCAAGGATTGCTCTCACCCCAGACAATTCCCACAGCCCCCAAGTACGCCCACTGCTGCTCAAAAAGACTGTGCACAAGAACAGCTCCTGTCTAAACATCATCCTGCTCAGAAACCAGCGATGGGGAGGAGACGGTCCCTAGGGGAACACAAGTAACGCAAAGCGACGCTGAGACTCTTCTCTGTTCTGAGACACTCACTGCTTCCCAGCTGTGTTCATCTCTGGATCGATACCCTCCTTACCTGCCTTCAGAAGGGTACCACTCTACAACATATGCGCTCACACTGGTTTTCCTGGAAGCTGCACCATCCCCGAATCCGCCTAACAAGGTGCATTTCCATGCAATATCAGCAGAAGCATTGATCCTAGAAGTCTCACCAGGGCATGCCCGTCCCTCATTGATCAAACACAGCTTAGACTACTAGAGACAGCAAACATAGCAACCCTGATTAGCCTAAACAAAAACTAATCAGGGAATCCTATATCCTAGAAGGCAAGAGTGATGTTACGGACCACAGCTCTTTGAGTGGTGGCTGTTCCCTTCCAGCTTCCAGGAGATGTTAGGAGATTTGTACTGCACGTGCCTGCCTTCAAAAGTTAAGCTCAGATTGCTGCTGCCTTTCCCCTGCCCACAGAATTCGGGAGGATAAGGCAGAGGGCAATGGCAACCGCAGCACAGAGCTCCACAGTCCCAGTACAGATTCTTGCAGACCTGGGATTTGACTCTTCCTGCCATTTTATATTTCTTGCCTCTTTTCGGACAGAGCCTGGGGATTCCCAGGTGGCTGGGTAGGGAACAGGATCCTGATCTCCACTTCCCTCCAGCATCCTCTACCCGGGCACGTCCAGCCTCACCACAGCCTCGAGGCTGCACGGAACAGTCCTGCTCCAGCACCGCAGAATCCCATTCCTGCGCCAGCCCAGCAGGCAGTCTGGGCACACCAGAGCTCCTAGATCTCCCTGGAAGCCAGGCTGAGACCCTGGCTGTCCTTCCGAGAGGTAACCTTGAACCTCAGGTAGCTTTTGTTTGACAAGGCTGACAGGAGGGACAGACAGCAAAGAACAGAGATGCTGATGGGGCAGCTGGGCCCCGATGCAGAACTCGGTCTGCCCGGACACGTGCGCAGCAGTGAGTGTGGAGCAGGACGGTGCTTCTACGCAACCTGGGACAGCCCAGGCAGGGAGCAAGAGTTGATCGGCTTGCAGAAAACAAAAATTGCCTCATCAAGGAATAAGGGCGTTTATTTGCGCAAAGATGTTTTCTCTTTCCATGCTGCCAGCATCTCAGCTGCTCGTGGTGTTTCGAAAGGCGTTCGACTGTCTCCCTGCCAGCAGCACCCGAAGGAGCGGTGGGGGAGTGAAGACAGAATGACTGAGCAGCAGGAGGAATAAGGGGGAGGGAGCAGGAGAAAAAGGCAGCTTGAAGAAAAAAAAAAAAAAAAGGGAAAAAAAAAAA